GAGGGGCCCGCGGGCGCTGAGGTGTCTGACAAGGGTCCGCCTCAGTCGGCTGCCCTGGGTCAGACCCGCTCACACGTCCGGGGAAAACATGTCAGGCACAAACCCCCTCGGTCCGGCTGTGGTCGGCGTGCGCTCGTCCTCGGACGCGGGGCGAACTCAACCAGGCCGGGAAGCGCCGGAGCCCCGTTTCTTTTCTTTTTCTCTCTTTTTCCTTCCCCCTCTGCCTCGGCGGCTCCCCTTCACCCCTGAGCCGTGGCAGAATTAGCAGGCGGCTGAAACGTCACTGCCTCGTTTATTTATTTTCGTTTCTTGGGGATAAGCATTCAGCTTTTCCTCTCTCGAATCCTTGGGCAGCAGCAGAATTGGCAGGCGGCAAGCGCGTGATTTTTTATTTTTTTTTACTCCACAAAAATGGTAATAACAGCGAGACGCACGAGTGTGCGCTGGGACGACACCCTCCGCCGTCCAAATTTCACTCCGCGGTTCGGAAACTGTCGGGCAGCGCTGTTCGTGCTTGAGTGGCTGTCACAGCCTTACGCAGCTGTTCAAAGAGGCCGGGCAGGCAGGTGACTGTTTTTAGGGCGCACGGGCTTGCTGCAAGGGCAACATGGATTTATTTTTTTTCCACACCTTTTTAGAACATTTGCATTGCGACTCTGGGAGCCGGTTTATGAAATATCTGGGAACCGGTTTATGAAATATACCTGGGAGCACTGAGCTGCTCGTCTGCTTTGCAGGATGGGGAGCATCTGCTTAAATTGAGGGACTGGGTGGAGTCCTCAGTGAACAATCATTCAGGTGCAGACAGGCATCTGTGCTTGGAAAGTGTGTGTGTGATTGTGTATGCAAGTATGAATGTGATATGCCAAATATCACTTGGATTTTTCACCCACCTCTTGTTCTCAAAACTTTGTGCAACACATTGAGGGGCTGGCTGTGAAACAAAATCCTGAGTGTGAAACAGACTCTTAGCACTTAATTGTATTGGGTACCCGAAAATACAGATGACTAAAAATATTCAAGATGCTGTCAGCCATCAAAAAGAGAAGCTTGCATTTTAGAGGGGCCTCTGTGACTGTGGTAGCAATATACGCCCTTGGAAAGGGCACTTCTGTAATCCGTGCATCCACTGATTGCAGTTCTTGAGCAAATCTTGCTATAAAAGTTACAGATTTCAGGCCCAGAAGCATCATTAAGTGAAGAAACAGAACTCTGTACTTTTTATGTGAATGCATAAAATCACACAAATACATACAGATAAGATTCTTTGGGTGAATCTGATATCTTTTATTAGACCATCTTAAACAGTTGGTATTTTTCCCCCAATTTTTCCAACTATTTAAGTTGGACTGATAAAGAAGCTTGTCTGCCTGTGTCCTTAGACCAACATGGTTGCAACCTGCACCCCACTAATACATACATACATTTATGTTATTTCCTGCATAAATGATAATGTATTTAAATGCCACTTGCTCTCCCATCAGGGATTTTTTTTTTTTTAAATCAAGCAAACTTCCTAGTTTTTGGTGAAGCAATACATGAGCTGATTATAGCTATATCTTTTTACCATAGCTGGGAGTATGTTAAGTTGTAAATTGATGCTGACTTAAATTGTACTTGCCTCTAATTTTACAATGCTAACTCCTGTGATCTCACGTGGTCTTTGCAGTAGAAAACATATATTAGTTTCCCTTTAACACAGCCTCTTGTGCGTTATACTTTTCCTAAATAGACTCTTGTAAGCAGCCTCAGAAGGCTTTTTCCCTTAAGCTTTTGTGCAAACTTGCAACCCAGCAGTAGCAGTTGTTGTCACTCCTAAGCTGACTGTGCACACTGCTTGTACATAGCTGGATATTATGTAATGGCATGGATGCCAGAGTAAGTCCTTTATCTTCATTTTATCTTTGTATATATGTAAACGGTTGTTATTTCAGTATGTGAGGGGCAAGGATTTCGGGGCAGTGATCTCTTTTATCGGACTGCCTGTATGGTTGCTGTAGGTTTAGACCAGATTTTGAATGCACTGTGTTCTTCAGGTCACTTCTTGTGGGCTGAAGACCACAAAAAGCGACCTGAAGAATGCACTGCATTTGAAAGCTTGTCTAAACCAATTGCAGTCATACAGCTGGTTTGATGAAAGATATCACCTACAAAATTTCCTTGCCTCCTGCATATCTCCTGGACCATCACAGCTACAACAGCACTCCAACACTACCAAAACACAGAGGTTATTCTAGTGTAACGTTTGAGGGTTGATGCAGAGATGAATTAAACAGATGGCCTCATTGCTCAATTGCTGCTAGCTATAGTATAAAAATTTCTCTGTTTCTATAAAATACTTACTGTGCCTACTTGTCAATTTAGTATGTGGAAGCAAAAAGCACTGATTAAAAGGACATATGTAATAAAGACTTTAGATTAACTGACAATTATTCAATAATAAATACATGTAGTGTCTGACACAGGAGTTGAAGCATCTGTGTATGTTTAATTGTGTTCAGTTTACATGTGTCGTCATAACCTTATTTGTGGTTTTGTTTTGTATTCTGTGATTAAGGGTGGCCAAAGGCATTTTACCTCAGAGCTCAAACCTCTAAGGAATTGGCACCAGTGTCTTGAATTGTATAACAAAGAAAACATTCGTTTATTTTTCTTCCAAGGTTTTGCCAGATCAGATTGTTCTGGATGCTGTCAACGTTTAACACTAAGAAATGGTGTTTTGCTTTGGTCTTTTTACATGTCTTGAACAGAGTTTTTGAACTAGGTTTTATGGGCCTGTGGGGTCTCCACTGAATAGATGCAGGGAGTGCATTGAACCAAGACTGAACTAATTTATTTAGAGTTTTAAAATTACTAGGACCCACTAGTCTTACACTCTTGTTGTGCTGGAAACTAGCTAAAAGCACATTTATCATGTACAAAAGACACAGCACCAGCCCATCAAATACGATGAACTAAATTACACACCATAGATGGCTTAGATAATCCACCTCCAGTAAACATTGACCATCTCCAAAAATGTAGTCAACGTATTCAGGCTTTTGGGGGTAAGAGAAGGGGATGCATTCCAGTAAATAGGGTCTTTGTGTAGAATGCCCTGCCAACAGGCCCTTTTTGTACTTAGGGGGTAGGGGAAGGCAGCTGGTTTCAGTATCTTCATCCTTCTTAACTTTGCCCCTCTCTACTTGCCATTTTGCCAGTCTTTTAAGTAGACAGGCCTCAAATCACTTAGATTTGTGTATCTATACTGGTATGTTCAAACGTCTCTGGAAGCCCACAGGCAGATCTTGGAGCCTTGGTTGAATAAGCTTACAGTGCAATGCTCGATTTACTGAGTGGACAGTTGCTTTCTGTTTTAAGTTTAGCTTTCCCAGGGATTTTAAGGTATAACACGAGTTGGGGCATGGTGCAGTCTTGAGGTGTGACAGAGATGAATAACAGTTGTGAGGTCAGTATCTGAAAGAAAGCGATGTAGCTTCCTGGCAACGTGAAATGGCTGAAGGGATGAATGATCAAGGTGGTTGACAATCTAACTGGATTCTTGAGTAACAAGTGAAGAAGGAACAATGTAAAGAGGGATGGGATTGATATTTTTGCTGAATTTTCTAATTATTTTCCCCAGTTTACCAATATCACCTTTGCTCTTTGTTCATCTGGCGGAGCCCAGTATTTATCATTGGGTCTGTCTTCTTATTGCGAAAAAAGATGCTAAGAAACAGGCTGATGGTATGGTAAGAACTGTGAATTAGGCTGTTAATTTTGTGCTCTTTGGTGTTGCATCAGGAGTCCCTTTGGGGTAAAAACTTACTAGAAATCAAGCAGTCCAAGTTTAATGGTATGTGTTGGACATAGAAATGTTTTTAATATGGGAAGTGCTATTTCTTCTCGGTGATAAGAAGTATGCTTTAAATCAGACTTGTCCAACATGCGGGCTGCCAAGCCATTTTATCTGGCCGCCGGCGGCGCCACACAGTGCGGAGCCGCGGCAGTGGCGCGGAGGGCAGGGAGTGCGGCGAGGTGGAAAGGGAGCGCTGCGGAATGGCAGTGGCGCGGAACGCGGAGTCGCAGCGGCGAGGCAGGCGGAGGGGGCGCGGCGAGGCGGGCAGGGAGTGCTGCGGAGCGCGGAGCCGCGATGGCGGGGTGGGCAGAGAGTATG